TGTTGTTTTTTTGGGACACTGTGCTACACTGTGGGATTTATTGGTTCATACATTTCCCAAGAGCCCTTTCTCTGCACACAGTATGTGGACAGGCTCTATGAGTCAAGGCAGCAGCATTGTTTTGCTATGACAAAAATTAATGAAGGCATGTATAGAGAGTCACAGAAGAGCAGGGTGGTCGGCAGACTTCTGTAGTCCAGAAGGAAGGTCTGTCAATACTGTTTGGGTTTTTAGCCTAGCAGAGGTATTATAGAGGGTTTTTCAGGGTACTGCTTAGGCACAATTAAAATATCTAAATGTTCCTTATAAGATAACAAATAGTTTTCTCAGTTAAGGTCCACTTTAAGAAAGGCTTATGTTTATCCACCCATTTGGCAAAATAAGGGCAACCTCACCCAAAGCAGATGCTTGAATTTTGCTTGGAAATAACTTGGTTGGGTCATCTGCACTTCTCTTCTTCTGGAAGCTCCAACATGTCAACACCCTTTGTCACAAGGCAATAATGAAGGTGTTATAATTATACAAATGTTTTGCATTGTAGATAATAAAAACAGTGCAGCATGACGTATTTGGCCTAAAAATGGTCGCAGTAATTGGACAAAACAATTCTTGAGGTGATATCTCACCACTTTCATCCCATCAGATATAAACCAGAAATATAGCTTGCCAACAATTGGGGAAAATGCAAATATGGGCTTTGGATGGAGCTGGTCTTTAATATGTGCTCAGCAGATGTTCTGGTTTGACCTCATATGCCCATGACCTCCCTGTTGGATCACAGACTGGGCCGTTTCCCAGGTTTATTTTACTCATATACATCAAGTTGTAGACATTTCCAGCTAGGCGTGGGAGGTTGTCTTCAGTCCTGCCACTATTCTTTTGGTTTAATGGCTTAAATGAGCTCCAAAAATGTTTCTGTCCTCTGGTTTCTTGCTGCAGTTTGATGTTAACAGAAAGTGAAAAGCTCAGAGAGGCCCAGAGCCGTGGCACGACGGTCGCTGTGATGTAATCATCAAGCATGGAATTAATAGTAACAACCAAATTGCAACTTCTGGTCCAAGGATAACATTTGGAACATTCTCCAAGTGGGATATTACAATGTCAGGGCTGCTTTAGCTGATGTGTTATTAATAACTATTGGCTGTTCATAGACTGTTCTGTTTATTATTAAAAGCTATGTGTAGCAACATCATATGATGAATTGACTTGTGTAGTTACCATGCAAACAATGCCATCTTGATTCATTTCCTAAACTGTGACACCCAAAATGATGAAGGAAGCCTGACATGATCATCTTGTGAACCAAGTGATTCTCTTAGCAGGTCAGCTCCCCCCTCTTTGATAGTGATTCAGAAGCTTGGTTGCCCCCTGCTCCTCCCTCCTAGTAGTGACTGAGATACTCAGCTCCCAATCTCAAAACTATATCAGCTGCCCCTGTTCCCCCATTACCAACATGAACTCAGCAGCTCTGCTCAACCTGTTCTCTTCTCCCAAAATTGATTCAGAAATTCAGCTCCTCCACCCCAGCATTGAATTAGCAGTGTAGCTGCCCCTGTTACCCCTTTCCAACATTGAATCTTTGCTCCGCTCCCAGCATTAACTCAGCAGCTCAGTTCCCCTCCCACATTGACCCAGAAGCTTGGTTCCCAGTATCTTTCTTCCAGATTGACTCAGCACCTCACATCCCCTGTTTCCCAGTCCATGCATTGATTCAGTAGCACAGTAGCTTAGCAGGTTACCCTGCAGTTGTTATTATTCCAAGCTTGGGGGGGTTAATATGAGCGGCTGTAGCTGCAACAGGCACTTGTCAAGTTCCAACTCTGCCCAACCTTTCCGCCCATATGCTCCATTCACAGAAGCCATATTTTCAGTTCCCTCAATAAGAAATGCTCTATGAATGAAAGACCATGAATTATCTGTCCATACCCTGGGACTTCAGATTTCAACCTAACGTAGCGGCCACCAGTGGAACAGTCTTCATTCATGGTATCCAAAAAAGGAAATTTTCACCAAACTCCAGCTTCAAACCTAACTGTCTCCGATAAGACAGGTTCCACCTCTACAGTACCTACTCCAACACTGAGGGGCTCCCAGACTGACCAAGCAGGCATTTTATAAAACCTCCCTCAATCTAAGATAGACACACATAGTCTCCGGAGAACAGGGCAGAAGGTTCCCCCAAGATGTCTGCAGGAAGTTCTGAACAGAGGACATACAGTAGAAAATTCCATCAAGTAAGGAAACATTAATGATAACAATTCATCTAGTGATAAGCACTCGCCAGTGAAATATCAGTCTTTATCAGATTCTCCACCAAAATCGTCAGTAAGTCCCACCACCACTCCAAATCCCACCCACCAGAAAGAGCTGCTGCACAAATCATAGGCAGTTAATAAAGCTCAAACGCATCCTTCACAGTAGATGGAATTTTTTGGAACAACTCCTTAAAGGGAATGGCTCATTGGAGAGAGATGGCAACCACCAGATTAGTCCCTCTAATGGTAAGTGGATGGCAAGGCTAGAAATAGGGAGACAAAGGCTCCCCAAAAATAAATTAATGTATATAGTGTAGTAGGTTATATATAAAGTAAAAGTGATTAAGAAATTAATGTGAATCTCCACATGTTGCAACCACCACCAGTCCCATACATTCACCAGACCAAAGGACTGCACATCATATGAACAGAAAACGGGCACAATATCAGTCACCAGGTCTCAGCAGCAATAACCCTCAACAACACTTAACATCTTGGCGTAGCACTGGCCAAAGTTGATTTCACATATCGGCATCCAAACGATCAGCAGGACTGTATGGAACAAATGCTCGCCAAGAGCAGAGCCAAGATGGAGGTATGTAGTGTAGTATTTATTAAAATATTAAATGCAGGCAGGATAAATCAAACAATCAGCGTCTAAAATGTACAAATATAGCCGCCACATACAAACATGCGCCGGTGATGATGGCAACACTCTAACTCCACCCAACGCTTTTCACACTCTGGCGCATCTTCAAGGGTCTAAGGATCTTTGCGAGCCAGTGAACACAGGGGCCAGTGAGTACAGGGGGTCAGAGAGCAGGGGGAGATGAAGAGCATAGGGGCTAGAGAGCATGGTAGGTGGAGAGCACTGGGAGCAGCAAAAGAAGCTGGATAGGAAGAGCGGTGGGGTGACTATATATAGAAGAATCAATCTTTCCATTTTCCTCCTGCAGCAGCTGAATAACTGGGTGAGGGAGAGGAGGAGAAGCGGGCATTCAGTGGCTGCTAGAGGAAAATGGAGAGATCGATTCCTCTATATGCAGCCGCCCCACCACCAGAATGAGTCCGGGTCGCAATTGCGACCCCTGTGACCCATGTAGGTACGCCCCTACATGCTACACAATGGGTGTTATATACTAAAACTGCAGAATGCAAAATTTGATAGAAACAATCAGTTTCTGGGTTTTATTGCCAAAGCTTCATTGAACAAGCTGAAGTTAGAAGCAGATTGGCTACTTGGCTACCATGCACAGCAGCACTGGATTCTGAGTGCTCCAGCTTTAGTAAATCTACCCCAATGTGCTTTCTGCTCCTATTGTCCCACTGCATAATTAGGATCCAACATAAAAACGCACATTCTAATGATGTGAAACACACGCAATGCTTCTATGACCAAGGCTGCCAAGGGTTTAGGTCAAATAATAGAGTGCGGGAAGAGCAGTTTTTATTGACAAGAAAGGCCACACATTTGGCTTGGTAATGCTGACACGTGCCCTAGTGACTCATGAAAAGTGTAAGTTTTAATGGGTCTGCTTTAAGTGCATCATCTTCTTGTTTAAATTAAATTGGATACTTTTGAGCAGGCTGCAACAGGGATTGAATGGGAAAAAATAAGGATTCTTTTTCTCGAAGAGAGATTTCATTGACTCTCATGGGGACAATAAGTGTCCTGGGTTATCTAGGTGGAATGCGCCCCTCTAAGGAGAGGAAGCTGTGTCAAAATTAATCGCAGTCACCTCTTTTATTCAGAACAGGTTTATTTATTGAGATTGTGACCTCTCAGAATGTTACATCCTACTAATCCTGACACTGACGCTGCCTGACTGATGAGAGTTGATACAGATGTCTGAGATCCCCCAAGGACGCCTCCACTAACTTTTTCCCAGCTGTTCACAGAAAACAATTTAATTCTCGTGTTTATTTCTCTCAGCCGTTATCTGATATTGTCTGCCTTAGGAGATCTTCAGAAATGATGTTTTGGATCCTATCTACAGATATTGGAGAACGTCCGGAACCGGCCTATTGCAGTTGGATTGATGAACGTTTGTATGTTTGCAGACCCTACTACAACCTTGGCCGATGTTCTCTATTCGAGCTTGCCTGGGGGGGGTGGGGAGGGATATTGGTTGGTCAAGATAGTCTTTAACACTGCATAGAGAAAGTATTTTTAGTCGTTTCTACTAAAGTTCAGCCTAACTGCACCTCAATAAGAGTGTCCCTCTAAGACTTGAGTGTGTGTTTTCTGCTACTTGTTGTTTGAGGTTGCTCCAGTGGGCTTTTCTACAGCAGCCTTTCTCAACCAGGGTGTCCAGGCACCCTGGGGTGCAGGGGCGGACTGACCATTTGGAAACTCGGGCACTGTCCGAGGGCCCGGGGTCAGTAGGAGGCCCCATAAGATGCCCCTGGTACCTTTTTCATAGGCTTTTTTGAGTTTGGGCAAGGACACAGGGGCCCCATGATCCCCTATTGCCTGGGGGCCCAATGAGTTGTCAGTCCGCCCCTGCTGGGGTGCCCTGGGGTTTCTTCAGGGGTGCCTTGGCAAAATGTCTAAAAAATGCCCAAAACATGTATACAAGCCAACGGGTGGACAAGCCTGCCTTTTAGTTACAAAAAGCCACAGGTTTTCATTGTCCACCATTACAACCTTCTATCCGCCGGCGTCCTGACAACCAAATACATCATCAGTTGATAAGGAGGATGTCAGCTACCTGCACAACATCCTAGTTTGACCCTCCTTTGCCCCTCTACATCAGTGCTGGGGTCACATTAGCTCAGGCATGTAGAAAAACTGAGGGAGAGGAGAAACATTGGAATAATAGTCAGTACCAGTGTGCAAAAGTGTATTTGCTTTGGAAGAATAAATCACCGCTAATGTTGGGTGTCCTACGTGTGTGGGTGTTGCTGCGTTGTATAAAATTGTTAGAATAGTTTTTCACATTTTAGAATGGGGTGCCTCAAGACTGTCCATAATTTTAAAGGGTGCCTCAAGACTGTCCATAATTTTATAGGGTGCCTCGGGACTGTCCATAATTTTATAGGGTGCCTCGGAACTGTCCATAATTTTAGAGGGTGCCACAAGACTGTCCATAATTTTAAAGGGTGCTTCGGGATTGTCCATAATTTTAAAGGGTGCCTCGTGACTGTCCATAATTTTAGAGGGTGCCCCAAGACTGTCCATAATTTTAGAGGGTGCCCCAAGACTGTCCATAATTTTAAAGGGTGCCTCGTGACTGTCCATAATTATAAAGGGTGCCTTGACTGAAAAAAGGTTGAGAAACACTGTTCTACAGGAATGAATTCTGTGTTAAAGGAGTACTAAAGTCACATTCATTACATTAAGTAATCATAAAGAGCATCAATCCCTGACGTAAAATACTATATTAGTATTGCTGAAATTATTTTTTTATTTTACTTTAAAATTGTGCGAATGCCCTCAGTTTATCCCTATAGCTGAAGCTGCTGTTTTTTTAGCTCTTCATAACAGCCAGCAGGGGAGTGATACCAAAATGTCCCGCAGATTGCAAAAGTGAAAGAACACATTCACAGGCATGCTTTAGATGTGCATGTTTCTGGGAGGGAGCTGGACATTGCATGGTGTAGACCAGTGTTTCTCAACCTTTTTACCTTCAAGGAAATGTTTGAGATCTTGGGGAACCCCTGAAATAATGTTCACATCTACAGTTCACGGAATAATGGTATGATGGGCGAGCTGCTGATAATAACAACAATTATTTTTACTAGCAGTAAATAAAAGAATACACATTTAACGTGAAACTTGTGTTTTCTTTTTCTGTTGAGATGCTCCATTCTGGGCCCAGCTTGAGATAAGCAGAGTATGTGTGTGTTTTTTTTTTTTGGGGGGGGGGTTGGGGGGAGGTAGCAGGGCAAGGTACAGGGGCTCAGGAGGTCACACTACATGAGGGGGAAGCAGGGCGCATTATGTGGGAACAGGGCACATTACATGGAGGCAGGGCACATTACGTGGGAGCAGGGCACATTACGTGGGAACAGGGCACATTACGTGGAAGCAGGGCACATTATGTGGGAACAGGGCACATTACATGGAAGCAGGGCGCATTATGTGGGAGCAGGGCACATTACGTGGGAACAGGGCACATTACGTGGCAGCAGGGCACATTACATGGGAGCAGGGTGCATTATGTGGGAGCAGGGCACATTACATGGAAGCAGGGTGCATTATGTGGGAGCAGGGCACATTACATGGAAGCAGGGCACATTACGTGGGAGCAGGGCACATTACATGGGAGCAGGGCACATTACATGGAAGCAGGGCACATTATGTGGGAGCAGGACACATTACATGGAAGCAGGGCACATTATGTGGGAGCAGGGCACATTACATGGAAGCAGGGCACATTATGTGGGAGCAGGGCACATTACATGGAAGCAGGGCACATTATGTGGGAGCAGGGCACATTACATGGAGGCAGGGTGCATTATGTGGGAGCAGGGCACATTACATGGAAGCAGGGCGCATTATTTGGGAGCAGGGCACATTACATGGAAGCAGGGCGCATTATGTGGGAGCAGGGCACATTACGTGGCAGCAGGGCACATTACATGGAAGCAGGGTGCATTATGTGGGAGCAGGGCACATTACATGGAAGCAGGGTGCATTATGTGGGAGCAGGGCACATTACATGGAAGCAGGGTGCATTATGTGGGAGCAGGGCACATTACATGGTGGGAGCAGGGCACATTACATGGGAGGGCACAGTGGGAGCAGGGCATTACATGGGAGCAGGGCACATTACATGGAAGCAGGGCACATTATGTGGGAGCAGGACACATTACATGGAAGCAGGGCACATTATGTGGGAGCAGGACACATTACATGGAGGTAGGGCACATTACATGGAGGTAGGGCACATTACGTGGGAGCAGGGCACATTACATGGAAGCAGGGCGCATTACATGGGAGCAGGGCACATTACGTGGAAACAGGGCGCATTACATGGGAGCAGGGCACATTACATGGAAACAGGGCACATTACATGGAAGCAGGGCACTTTACGTGGGAGCAGGGCGCATTACGTGGAAGCAGGGTGCATTACGTGGGAGCAGGGCACATTACATGGAAGCAGGGCGCATTATGTGGGAGCAGGGCACATTACACGAGAACAGGGCACATTATGTGGGAGCAGGGCACATTACATGGGAGCAGGGCACATTATGTGGGAGCAGGGTACATTACATGGAAGCAGGGCGCATTACGTGGAAGCCGGGTGCATTACGTGGGAGCAGGGCACATTACATGGGAGAAGGGCACATTACATGGAATCAGGGCACATTACATGGAAGCAGCGCACATTATGTGGGAACAGAGCACATTACACGAGAGCAGGGCACATTACATGGAAGCAGGGCACATTACGTGGGAGCAGGGCACATTACATGGAAGCAGGGCATTACATGGGAGCAGGGCACATTACGTGGAAACAGGGCGCAGGGAGCAGGGCACATTACATGGAAACAGGGCACATTACATGGGCAGGGCATTACGTGGGAGCAGGGCACATTACGTGGATGCAGGGTGCATTACGTGGGAGCAGGGCACATTACATGGAAGCAGGGCGCATTATGTGGGAGCAGGGCACATTACACGAGAACAGGGCACATTATGTGGGAGCAGGGCACATTACATGGGAGCAGGGCACATTATGTGGGAGCAGGGTACATGGGAAGCAGGGCGCATTACGTGGAAGCCGGGTGCATTACGTGGGAGCAGGGCACATTACATGGGAGAAGGGCACATTACATGGAGCAGGGCACATTACATGGAAGCAGCGCACATTATGTGGGAACAGAGCACATTACACGAGAGCAGGGCACATTACATGGAAGCAGGGCACATTACGTGGGAGCAGGGCACATTACATGGAAGCAGGGCACATTACATGGGAGCAGGGCACATTATGTGGGAGCAGGTCACATTACATGGAGCAGGGCACATTACATGTGGCAGGGCAGCAGGGCAGGGCACATTACATGGAGCAGCAGGTAGCAGGGCACATTACATGGAAGCAGCACATTTTTTACATGGAAGCAGGGCACATTACATGGAAGCAGGGCACATTACATGGGAGCAGGGCACATTACATGGGAGCAGGGCACATTATGTGGGAGCAGGGCATTACATGGCAGAGGTCACATTACATGGAAGCAGGGCACATTACATGAGAGCAGGGCACATTACATGGGAGCACATTACATGGAAGCAGGGCACATTACATGAGAGCAGGGCACATTACATGAGAGCAGGGCACATTACATGGGAGCAGGGCACATTACATGGGAGCAGGGCACATTACATGGACGCAGGGTGCATTATGTGGGAGCAGGGCACATTACATGGAAGCAGGGTACATTACATGGGAGCAGGGCACATTACATGGGAGCAGGGCACATTACATGGAAGCAGGGCACATTACATGGACGCAGGGTGCATTATGTGGGAGCAGGGCACATTACATGGAAGCAGGGTACATTACATGGGAGCAGGGCACATTATGTGGGAGCAGGTCACATTACATGAGAGCAGGGCACATTACATGGGAGCAGGGCACATTACATGGAAGGAGGGCGCATTACATGGGAGCAGGGCACATTACGTGGAAACAGGGCACATTACATGGAAGCAGGGCACTTTACATGGGAGCAGGGCACATTACGTGGAAACAGGGTGCATTACGTGGGAGCAGGGCACATTACGTGGGAGCAGGGCACATTACATGGAAGCAGGGCACATTATGTAGGAGCAGGGCACATTACACGAGAGCAGGGCACATTATGTGGGAGCAGGGCAGGGCACATTACATGGAAGCAGGGCGCATTATGTGGGAGCAGGGCACATTACATGGAAGCAGGGCGCATTACATGGGAGCAGGGCACATTACGTGGGAGCAGGTCACATTACATGAGAGCAGGACACATTACATGGAAGCAGGGCACATTACATGAGAGCAGGGCACATTACATGGGAGCAGGGCACATTACATGAGAGCAGGGCACATTACATGGGAGCAGGGCACATTACATGGGAGCAGGGCACATTATGTGGGAGCAGGGCACATTACATAGGAGCAGGGCACATTACATGGGAGCAGGGCACATTACATGGACGCAGGGTGCATTATGTGGGAGCAGGACACATTACATGGAAGCAGGGTACATTACATGCAAATGAGTACAGAGCACATTACATGGGACAGGGCACATTACATGAGAATGAGTACAGAGCACATTACATGGGAGCAGGGCACATCACATGAGAATGAGTACAGAGCACATTACATGGGACAGGGCACATCACATGAGAATGAGTACAGAGCACATTACATGTGACAGGGCACATCACATGAGAATGAGTACAGAGCACATTACATGGGACAGGGCACATTACATGGGACAGGGCACATCACATTAGAGCAGGGCACATTGCATGGGAATGAGTACAGAGCACATTACATGGGACAGAGCACATTACATGGGACAGGGCACATCACATGAGAGCAGGGCACATTACATGGGAATGAGGACAGAGCACATTACATGGGACAGGGCACATTACATGGGACAGGGCACATCACATGAGAGCAGGGCACATTGCATGGGAATGAGTACGGAGCACATTACATGGGACAGAGCACAGGGCACATAGCATGGGACAGAGAACATTACATGGGAAAGAGCACAAAGCACTGTACATGGGACAGTCTGTTGGGCACATTGTGGGGGACACAGCTTGGCACACTACAGTACCGGCTTTCTTCATCCTTCTACCTGCTTTAGATGTGGATTTCATCCCCCAGCCCCTCCTCCCCTCCTCCTGTCCTGTTCATCACAGATGATGTCACATACAAGCACCTGGAAAGGACAGAAGGGGCAATTGGGGAACCGCGCCCTACAGCCAACACTAGCACAGCTGCTTCCCTCCCTATCTCTGCATGTGTCCATGCGATCTACCTGTCATCTGTCTGAGACTGACAGGTAGATCATCGTGGAACCGCTGGGGACCTCTCCGCGAACCCCAGTTGAGAAACATTGGTGCAGACTTCACCTATGTAGTCAACGTATCAGTTGCTTGAATATATTCTCAGACCTGCTTCTAGATTCTAGAAGAGTAATAACAGTACAACTAAAGTCTGTACTATCCGAAGACCAGCAAGAGGAACATGCTAGTCTAAAGAGATGCTGGGGATGTGTTCTTCCACTTTCAAATCTTTTAATTATTCATCCTCACTTACACTCTCTGTTCTGGGTGCATCTGAATGGCTGAGATATTGAGAGAGAAGAATGTATTGTGGTCTCAGGCATAA